TCTCTCTCTCTCAAATAAATAAAATCTTTAAAAAAAAAAAAAAGAAAGGAATCCATATGTTGCAAACATGTGTTCTGTGTGCCTGCAATAGTTAAGGACAGAAACATCGTTAATTGTGCTGAATTCACCTATTTTGATTGATTTTAGGAATTCAACTTACTGCCTCAAAATTAAAATAACTATTAAGTTTGTACAGCATGAACCTAACTTGTGTTACAACACAGAAGCTATATTTACACAGAGACTACCTGTTGCAGCAGATGGACAGCTTGTGTGTCCTTACATGGAGTTTTTTAAAGATGAAAAAAATGAGTTACCCAAAATAGAGTGGCATAAGGTAATTTTACATGAAATATGGTATTTTACTTTTCCAGCAGATAAAGTTGTTTTCTGTCCTAGACAATAGGGTGAATCTGCAGGGTACTTTTTCATTTGACGTATTGCTTGCTTTTGCGTGGTAAAACTTAATAGGAATTTTTTTTTTTTTAAGTTGTAAGACTGCATACATTTAATGAAAGTCTTACTTTCTGTTAATTTTATTTAACAAGATAAAGTTGAGAAAAGGATAGTAGAAATAAAAGATGTAAAGATAAGGCTGATTATAAATTTAAGGTGTTTGAGAAATCTCTATTTATTATAAAATATATTGTGTTTTTGTTTTATTAAAAATATTAAGTGGTCCTTAAGAAACTGAGTGGTTTCTGTCACTGTCTTAAGAGTGGATTGGCTAGCATTCCATGGAACACGTCATGTTTTGGCACCTTTGATCTACCCAGTTTGTTGGAGCTTACATGGCTAATCATCTTATAGAGGTTAAGAAATACAAAATAAATAATATCAATGCAGAAGGGAAGTACAGCATTACTGAGAAATTATCACATTAACATTCTGTCCTCAAACATGATTTTCTTGCAAAGTAAATTTGTCTTCACTTGTCTTCAAAGTGCAAGGCTCATAGGCATAAAGATTTAATATCCTGGGAATGTAATTGGGACTATTGCCAAAAAAATACTATATTAAAACTTACACGCAAGGAACATAGTCATATATATTCACATATATGCTCAGCTTGTGATCATGTGTCTGGTTGACAACAGAAGAGAAATAAACAAGTGTATGATGATTATTCTTGTAAATTTTCCTGAGGTATTCAATTCATGTATGTAGAAATATCTATGAATATGAATATATATGTATATATACATGACATGCATAAGACATTTGCCAATGAGAAAAAATGGAGTTTCTTTTGCTGGTAGGCTGCAGAAAATCATTAATTGGTTTTAATACTTCTTACCCCTCCCTCTATCTAGGATTGCAAACCTCTACTTCTTGACAATATAAACTTTATTGGAGTGACAGATAGACTCATCATAGCAAATGTGACTGCAGCACATAATGGGAAATATACTTGTGGAACATTCTACACGTACTTGGGAAAGCAATACCGTATTACCCGGGTTATAGAACTGATGACTATAGGTGAGTCACAGCTCCAATCTTAGGAGTTTGAATTTGGGAAGGCCCAGAAACCATGATTCTAATACGACCTTCATTGTTCAGGGAGGAACTAAACCCAAGAGAAGCTTGATGACTTGCCAAAGGTCTCATGGCTTTAGCTTTTTTGTTGCCAATACTATATACATGTTTTGCATTCCTGCTTCAGATGCAGTGCTAATTAGACGGTAAGAGATGTTTTCCAACCGAAGTAAGAGGCTTGTTCTTTGCATGACTAAAGATGGTTCTTCCAGAGAGCTCTTGGGTTCCCTGTGACTGGTGTACGAGGAAGGACAGTTCTGAGCACTTTCGCTTGGGAAGTCTGAGTGTCTAGCAGTAAGGAACATTGACTTGATCTTTTTTGTTTTTTTAATTATTTATTGTTACGTTAATCACCATACATTACATCATTAGTTTTTGATGTAGTGTTCCATGATTCATTGTTTGTGCACAACACCCAGTGCTCCATGCAGAACGTGCCCTCCTCAATACCCACCACCAGGCTAACCCATCCTCCCACCCCCCCCCTCTAGAACCCTCAGTTTGTTTTTCAGAGTCCATCGTCTCTCATGGTTCGTGTCCCCCTCCGATTTACCCCCCTTCATTCTTCCCCTCCTGCTATCTTCTTCTTTTTTTTTTTTTAACATATATTGCATTATTTGTTTCAGAGGTACAGAGCTGTGATTCAACAGTCTTGCACAATTCACAGCACTCACCATAGCACATACCCTCCCCAATGTCTATCACCCAGCCACCCCATCGCTCCCACCCCACCCCCCACTCCAGCAACCCTCAGTTTGTTTCCTGTGATTAAGAATTCCTCATATCAGTGAGGTCATATGATACATGTCTTTCTCTGATTGACTTATTTCGCTCAGCATAACACTCTCCAGTTCCATCCACGAACGTTGACTTGATCTTGATGGGGTGGATGCTAATGGGCTTTGGAATATGTTGCATTCCCAGAGTGCGCTGTACCTCTTGTCAGTTTCTTGTTAGCTCAGTTACTTTCCCTCTCTAAGCCTGTTTCCTCCTTTGTAAGATGATACAATTTTCCAAGGTTGTTGGGGAGATTAGAGATCAAGTATGCTCAGCTTGTGACCATGTGCCTGGTGCAAAACAGAGGAGAAATAAATAGGCATAGATAATTATTCTTGTAAATCTTCCCGAGGCTTTCAGTTGTCTATTAATTATGTTTCACCTTAAAAGCTATTTTACAAGAAAATGCACTCCTACAAATTACCTGGGGATGGGCAGAATGCTCAGCCTTTCTGTAAATAGTAGATTTTGTAAGCTTTCAGTAATAAAAGAAGAGTTCCTTTAACCAGGACTTTAAAAGTTAAAGGGGCCTTATTAGTAATTATGCTGGGACAACCAGCATAAATGGGGACTGTCTCAGATAAACCCTAAATATGATCACCGTACATATAGCTAGGTTTTCTCAATTCTCTAATAATTTATATTTTTCAAATGTTAATTTTATTTATTTATTTTTTAAACATTTTTTAAAGATTTTATTTATTTTTTGACAGAGAGAGAGAGACAGCGAGAGAGAGAACACAAGCAGGGGCAGTGGGAGAGGGAGAGGGAGAAGCAGGCTTCCTGTGGAGCAGGGAGCCAGGAACAGGGAGCTAGGAGCAGGGAGCCAGGAGCAGGGAGCCTGATGCGGGGCTGGATCCCAGGACCCTGGGATCATGACCTGAGCCGAAGGCAGACGTTTAACGACTGAGCCACCCAGGCACCCTTTCAAATGTTAATTTTATTGAATCAAAATGAATTCCTTGCCCAAGGCCTACAAGCATCAGCGAATTATAATTTTCAACAGTCCTTATATCTCACCCATCCTGGGTTTTTAGCAGCCTGTCTCTGGCCATGGGGTAGTTCTGGTTTGTCTTTCTTTACATACAGCAACCAGACCAGCAGATAGAATTTTAGAGAGAACTAGGGAATTTTTTTTAATAGGTCAAATATGTTTTAAATACTCTGTCTTCTTTCCTGATACCCTTTATAGAAGTAATACACTTCATCAGAGAAGGGGTCATATTTTGTTTTCGTAAAACAGATTCAAAAATATTAATTGAGCATCTACTATATGCCAGGCACTGTTCTAGGTGTACATTAGAGAACAAGAGAGACAAGATCCTGCCTTGATGGAGCCTACTTTTTTTTTTTTTTTGACTGTGGTGGAATATGGGCATTTCAATTCATAGTTTCTCAGGTTGGCCACAGATGGACCTTCGAAGTCCATCTTCTTGTAAATAAAACTCAGATGAATTTCTGGAGCTCCTTAAAACTCTTCTGCCCTTTTAAATAAATTCTGTCGAATCGCTTGGCATTCCACTCTTGGGTCATTACTACAATTACTAAAGACAAGCAGGTCTAGCACTGGATGGTCTCTCCGGTTAATGCTTCCTCCACGGAAGTCCGTCCCCAGAGCTCCTTGTTGTTCCTGATTTGCTTCAAGAGAGGAACTTGTCTGGTGTCCTGGTGATGTGTGTGTTTGTAGCACCAAACTCGATGGGTGAGCAGGGCTCAGGCTTGGTAGCAGGTATTCGTGGTTTAGCTGTGACCTCCTCGTTGGCCTCCTTCCTTCACCTCTTGCCTTCTGTCCCCTGCCGTATACGCTTTGGGCACTCAGGGGAATATCTGGCCAGCTGCCACGTGGTATTTTTAGTACATTTTGCTAACCGTTGTCATCAGTTGAGATTCTGATCTGTAAGAGACTAAGAAGCCCTGCGGATGTTTGTCTTTCAGAAGAATACAAGCCCGTGAGACCTGTAATTGTGAGTCCAGCTAATGAGACAGTGGAAGCAGGTCTGGGTAAGTGGGTTCCAATCACGCTATGCTGAAATCTTTATTCTGAACTCAAGATTCAGATAAACTGTACCTTTACTACACTTAACCGAAACCATTTACTGAAAAGATCTATAATTAGTGGGAAAATAGCACAAATTATGTCTTTAAATGTTTCTTTGGATTCCCTGCCTTTCATAGCAGAAATCTAGCCATGTCTGATTTGTCCACCCTCACTTTCCTGTGGATGCTTATTACCCATGAAAACATCAGCCAAAGGCTAAGTTCAACAGGACTAGAAATGAGAAATGTAATTTATCTGACTGGCACAGGATGGAATTCTTAAGACCAGAGCTAAGCTTTTAGACTGAAGGGTAAGATAATAGACCAAAAAGGAAAAGTATTTTTCTAGAATGACCATCAAGTCAGTGAAAATTTTTTATTTCGAGAACAAAGACATAATCCTATAAGCATCCAGACCTATACAATACACTCCAATAGCCACTAGCCATATGTAGCTATGAATACGTAAATTTAAATTAAGTAAATTAATTAATTTAGTTCAATTAAAAATTAGTTCTTCAGTCACATTAGCCATATTTCAAGGGCTTAATAGCCAGATGTGACCAGGGATTACCATGTTAGCACAAATATAGAACATTTCTGCCGTCACTGAAAATTCTCTTGAAAACCACTGGTCCAAACATAAAATCAGATATTCGTATCAGAGGATCAAAAACCAGGCTGGCATGCAAAGTTCTCTTCTGTAAAAGTCACTGCATGAAGACAGTGAATAGTTGTACGGAGATTAGAAGGTAAAAGTTTGTGACCAATGGGTTCTGTACTTGGCCAAGTTGTTATTCATGGTGGAAGGTAATATAAAGACATTCATAGATATAAACAAGCAGAGATGTGAAAACTCAAATTAAATATAGGCCGATAGAATCTAGAGCAGTTTTCCTCAACCCTTTTTCTTTCCTCATTAATGCTCCCCTGTAGAGTCTAAAAAGGCATTTCCCTTCCCCAATCCTCTTCCCTTCCTTAGTTTTAATGCCACATATCTATTATATATCTGTTGATGATGGCACTTGTCAGGGCCACAGACCATTGCAATATCTAAGATTTTCTTGCCCTCTCCCCAAGAACCACTTTTTGCCCTGTTGGCCCTAGCTTCTGTTAAGAATTCATATTCTAGTGGTATACATTTTAGAGTTCTGAAGTTCAGGTGGCATTGATCTCCAAATCTAAAAAATAGCTTCATATTAGGAAATAGTTATTTTAATATATCCCATCGACCAGATGCACACATCACCCTGTCATATGATTATCCTGAAGGGTGTCAAACAGGCATCTGCTAAGATTCAATACCAATTACCAATAAAGTGACTTCAATACCAATTACCAATAAAGTGACTTAGAAAAATAGATACTTCCTTAACTTAATAAATAACATTGATTCAAACCAACAGTCACTAACATTCTTAATGGTGAACCACTGTAGTGTTAGATGTTCTACACGCATAGATGCCCAAATAAGGCAGCATTACTTAACATATTCGAGAATTGCCCACTTGAGGCAATCATACATAAAAGAACCAAGGCATGTTTACTGTAAGGGAGAAAAGGACTTTATTATTATTTTCAGATCATATAATGTATGTATAACTCTCAAGAGAATTACCAGGGAGAAGTTAGAATTAATATATTATTATATAAAATTAATATTCTAGGTGTAGCAGAAGTCCCCTCTGCTGTGGTGGTGTGCTGTGGGGAAGAGATGGATTTGTAAGTCCCCGGGCGAGGTCCTGCCTCCCCAAGGCCACTACTTTGCGGAGGAGACTCTGGGTGAAGCTATCATCATTACGTTTGACCAGGAGGCAAAACCTTCTACTGGGGACTTGAGGGATAAGGAAAGAGCATACATTAAACTCAGAGTCACTGGACATGGTGCAGTGAGATTCACTTTGAAGTGAGGATGGTGGACGACACATCTCTGGCAACTCAGAGAATCATATTGTCAAAGACTGGATGTTCCAGTGAATTCACTCAGGTTTCTCTTCGAAGGTCAGAGGATTGCTGATAATCACAGTCCTAGGGAGCTGGGAATGGAGGAAGATGTGATTGAAGTTTATCAGGAACAAACAGGGGGTCATTCAACAGTTTAGATATTATTTTTATCTTTTCTTCTATCCCCCTTAATCCTCTTTTAGTTTTAAAAATAGTTCTTTTGTCATGTGGCGTTCAAGATGGAATTGAACACTGGCACCTCACCTCCTTAAGACATCTGGTGATGTGAATTCTGGTGTCCATTAGTCATTATCATTTGTTTCCCTGGTGCTGAGTTTTGGTGATGAAACCTCAGTGCCCTTCCTGTTGCCCTCTCCTTTTTACGAATTACGCGTGTACACTGAGGGGCCACCTTTTCCAGGACTGTGGGTCTTCAGGCTTATGGTAAATAAGACTCACCAATGCAGTGTTCATAATGCCTTTCCGATTGGCCCTGAAGTTCTGGCAACTTCAGGAAGTTACTTCCCTCCTGGACTTGTGGCTTTTGGTGGGAAATGGAAGTTTCTCAGAGAACCGAGCTGTGGAAAAATGGCCTTTCCTTCACTTAAAGCTGCTTTGAAAATCTGAGGGTTTGGCCCCAAAGAAGAGGAATATCGGGCTGGAGTCAAGGTGGCATAGAGACAGTGAGAATAGGGACTAACTCCAAAGATGGCTTCACTGAAGATAAATCATTTTAAGATTAAAGAAAAATCTTGTCAGAAGATCCCCAAAACTTGTGATTTTCCTAGGTAGTTAATAAAGTTATTCATGCAGAAGTGTCTACAACAGAGCACTGCTCTTTTTTATTTTATTTGTACTTTTTGGCCTAGGCATCTGGGTTTTAAATGGACATTGTCTATACCAACTTCATTAAAATAAACAAAATATTTGTAAAAGCAAGCAAATGAATAAAATTGATATTCCAAAATGGTAAACTTGTTTGGCAATAACCAACTAGAAAACATAATGGGGAAAGAGATCCCATTTGCAACATGTCATAGAGATGTCTATAAAATTTCTTAGCAAAATCTTTTCAAAAATATATAGGATTTATAGGGGAGAAAAAAATGCAAATTCTGACCTATATCTCAGGAAAATTGAGATTTAAAGCTTACATATCGACAAAGAGTGGGAGTGATGTTGTTTCCAATGGGGAGAAAATTGGTTCTTATTGGAAAAAAAAATCTAAAGCAATATCCTGTATGTGGTATTAAAAATTCACTGGGAAGGAGGCAATTAGGATAAAAATGTCTTAAAAGGCTCCAAGGGGAACAATAATGAAAGAAATCTTGAGAAACACCGATTTAAGGAAAACTGTAATAGAAATGTATGTTTTTTCTTATATGGAAAACTGGAAATTGTAAAAATAGCGACTCTTAAAATTACAGTTTTAATGGAATTCCAATAAAAATATGAATGGGCTCGGGCGCCTGGGTGGCTCAGTTGGTTAAGCCACTGCCTCGGCTCAGGTCATGATCCTGGAGTCCCGGGATCGAGTCCCGCATCGGGCTCCCTGCTTGGCAGGGAGTCTGCTTCTCCCTCTGACCCTCCCCCTTCTCATGTGCTCTCTCTCTCTCATTCTCTCTCTCTCAAATAAATAAAATCTTTAAAAAAAAAATATGAATGGGCTCAAAAGTTGGCAGGTGGTTCTTAAAATTCACCCAGAAGATTAAAATGATGAGATTATTAAAATAACATTGGGAAGAAGAGCTCTAAATGATACTAACATTTACCCTAAAACTGTTAGGTACTGTTGGCATCAGTATACACATTCAAATCAACCAAGAAAGTCCCAAATAAATATTTTCTAATAAAAGTGGAATTATTATTCAATAAGCAGTTCTGAAATGATCCATCAGCTATTTAGATAAAAGCCTTAGGTTCAATCTCTCCCTCTTACCATACTCAATTATATTCTAGACAGAGTAAAGAACTCAAACAGTCAAAACAACAAAACAATGAAAACATTTTATATATCTCAATGAAAATGTATATAGATATTTTCCTGATTTGGTGGTAGAGCTTTTAGAAAAAAATTGTGAGAACAGAGAAAACAGAAATTTGACCAAGTAAAAAATAAAAATATCTACACCAAAGAATTTCCATAAACAAAAATAGAAGGAAAGTAGTGAACTCTGAACAGTATTTGGAATATCATACGTGGAAACTTCCACGTATGATAAAGAGTTAATATCATGGATGAATAAAGAGCTCCTATGCAGCAGTGAGATTTATATGAGAATCAAGTAATAGACAGTAAACATAACAAGAAGTTCTTAAAGGCAAATTAATACTAAACTTATAAAAGACATGTTCATTCATCATGATTTCAAGAAATGCAGATGAATAGGGGCGCCTGGGTGGCTCAGTCCTTAAGCGTCTGCCTTCGGCTCAGGTCATGATCCCAGGGTCCTGGGATCAAGCCCCTCATCGGGCTCCCTGCTCCACAGGAAGCCTGCTTCTCCCTCTCCCACTCCCCCTCTTTGTGTTCCCTCTCTCGCTGTGTCTCTCTCTGTCAAATAAATAAATAAAATCTTTAAAAAAAAAAAGAAGTGCAGATGAATATTTAAATGGAATTTTTTCTTCTCTTATTGGGCAATGACCAAAAATATTTGAAATCTGGGGGTTTGGGAGGTAAAAGTCACTCACCTACACTGCTGGACAAAGTGTAGATATGTACAGTCTCACTTGGGGGAGGGGGTCTGGCTTTTTAAATCCGTACTTCCAGATTCAAAGAAGTGCTTCAGGATATATACGATATTAATGTACAAGAATGGTCGTTAGAATATTAATCCTAATCATGAAAAAATTAGAAACCAATTGTGTTTAGCAATTGGAAAAGCATCAGTCATAGTGTGTTATGGAATACTAAACAGCCATGAAACGGACTATTTTGGAAGGCTGATCACGTGAGCTGGAATTCCCAGTATACAATATTTACAAATAATAGACAATAACACTCCATTTTTAAAATTGCATGTGAAAAAAATTGCATGTGTACACAGAGAAGATGAGGAATAAGATGCACGAAGTTACTAATCGTGGTTATCTCCAAGTAGTGGGCTTAAGGGCAACTTTTCTTTTTCTTTGTACTTTTCTATAATTTAAAATTTTTATTCAATGGCCATTTATTAATCTAGATAAATCAGATAAAAGTCAATTGCTATGATTAAAACTACATTGCTTTGCAGGATCCAAGCTACAACTGATCTGCAATGTCAGTGGCCACATTAGTGACTATGTCTACTGGAAGTGGAACGGGTCATCAATTCAGGATGAGGACTCCGTGCTGGCAGAGGAATATGTACCGTAAGTATGCTAAAAGCCACTCATGCAACGGAGAAGTTTGGTATTAAATTTCACGTCATGAAATTTATACAACCTTGATGGTTTAATTGGATAGCAAAAGTTAGTTGATTGGCCCTTGACCCTTTGCTGCCCATATTGAGTTTTGCTGAGCTAAACAGGATTTATAAGATCTTACACACTTCAGGTAAAAATACGTGTCATTGTGGTGCAAATTCCGGACCACTTGGAAGACTTTCTCTTGAATTTGGATAAACATGTTACAACATTCCAATGAAGCAACTTTCCTGAATTACCCGTCATGTTATTCCGTTTTTTAAACAGTTTAGGAAAGACTCATTAAGTGGGACTGAGAATCGGGCACTCCACCTCTCAAGTCTCTAGTGGTTTTCTGTTTCCTCTCTAGGGATCAACTCCTGACTCCTTAGCATTCTCCTTGGTCATCTGCTCCAGTCTCCTCTTGTTTCATGTATTCTTCTCTCTGCCCCCATGGCGACTAGAATGCACATCCATCTTTTTCTTCTCGGAAGCTGGTAATTTTACTTTGATCTCAACTACTGAGTCTTTGACGCACAGTGGTCTTTGGGCTATAAAATCTCAGATTAGTGTTGCTAAAAGCCTGATTATTATCCCTGTGCATAGGGCTGGTGATAATTTCTGCTGCAATTCATGTAGCGAAAAAAGAGATGAACCATGTATATGTGTCTCAGTTATAGTTTTACTTAAACAACTTCATTTATTCTCTCTCTTTTGAACAGAGTGGAAAATCCTTCAAATAGAAGAAGGAATACAATCATCACCATTCTTAATATTTCAGAAGTGGAAAGTAGATTTTATCTATATCCATTTACCTGTGTAGCCAAGAATACAGACGGTATAAATTCAGCATATATCCAATTAATACATCCAGGTAAACAACAGAATATTTGAAATGCAGTTTTGGTTTACTGTCTCAAGAGTCTATGACCTTGAGGTTTACAATGCTGTTTCCCTCTGACTGGAACGCACTTGGATTCCTCTTAACCTGGCAAACTTCTTTTTTTTCACTTGTCAGATGAACTATTTCTTCTAGGAAGCTTTCTGTTCTCTTGCCTGCCCTTAACCAGCTCTCTGACCAAACAGACAATGCCTCTGTTATATACTTTCAGAGAACCCTATGTCCCTGTCACAATATCTGTCATACTTAGTTTTCTTTGTTGACTTAAATTCTGTGATGGTGCTGACCACTTATCTTGCCAATCATTCTATTTCTAGAGCTAGTAGTGACTTAAATCTGGCATATCATAGGTATATAATGAATATTTTTAGGTAAATGACAGCATAGGACAGCCTAAATACCCACTTTCCAGAGAGGATGTCAGAAGTTACTGGGTTTTTTTCAATTATATAATCAAACAATATTAAAAATATTTGTGAAATATTTTGATTATTTGTAGTTGAATTAAATATAGGGTATTTATGAATGTGTACATGGAAGAAGATTTAAAAACCTATAGGCTTAATAAATGAATTTAGCAAGATCACTAGTCTCTCTCTACATGTAAACACATATATATGTACATATAGTATTTCTATGTACGTCAATAAATACCAACAAATAGAAATTAAATTTAAAATATTACATTTACAATAGTATCAAAAATTATCAAATACTTAGAAATAAATCTGGCAAAGGTTGTTTAAGACTTCCGTGATACAAACTAAAAGAATGTCATTGAGATAAATTAGAGAAGACCTAAATAGGTAGAAGGATATACAATGTTCATAGATTGAAAGACTCCGTGTTATAAAGATATCAGTTCTCCTCAAATGAATCTATAGATTCAAAAAAGTTCCAATCAAAATTTCAATAGTATTTGTGCAAGTGTGGGTATATATTTGTGTGGGTATGTTGTGGGTAGATTTATTCTAAAAGTCATATGGAAATGTTAAGGGGCAAGAATAATCAAGGTGGTCTTGAATAAAAACAGCAAATCTAGAAGATTTACACTACAGGTACCATGATCTTGTGTGAAGCTACCATAATTAAGGCTATCAATGTGAACTATCCATTGGGCCAATTGGATATTGGTCTGGAAAATGGTATATCTCTTGATTCCTATTTCATACCTCAAATCAGCTGTAGATGGATCAAAGACCCAAACTGGGAAATTAAATATAATAGAGCTTTTAGATTCTCTTTTCTGGATGCCTACCTGACTCCTGACATTTAGAAGGCACTTTTTTCTTCTTTCTTCTCTACACTGCACCCCCTTACCTCTCCTTCACCTTGCTTCTCTGCCCTTCTGTAATCATTGGATGAATAATTAGGGAGTGAAGCTAGGAAAATGTGGAAGAGTGACACATTCTGTATGGCATCCCTATGCCCCTTTTTTCCTTTCCCCCAAACTTCAGCTTTCCTCACCTGACTCTTCTACACTCCAGAAACTTCTGTAGGCTTTTGAGTGACTTTGACTTGTTTTACTCTGAAGTGCTCTATCCTATGGGCTTTGGCATCTTTTCTGTGTTATTGTATATAATGGACCCTTAAACAAAATGGGAATTAGTAGCAGCAACACTCCCATTCCCAGTCAAAAACTCGAGTATAACTTTGAGTCCCCCCCGAACTTTACTACTGATAGCCTGCTGTTGACCAGAAGCATTACTGATAACATGAACAGTTAACACATATTTTCTATGTTATGTGTATTACGTAATGTGTTCTTACAATAAAGTAAGCTAGAAAAAAGAAAATGTTATTAAAAAATCATAAGGAAGAGAAAATACATTTACAGTAATTGTATTGTAAAAAAAACTGCATATAAATGGACCCACATAGTTCAAACCTGTATTGTTCAAGGGTCAACTGTATTATAATATTTAGGTGGAAATTTAATACAGTGCACCTCAGTTTTATAAAGTATCAATTCTAGATGACTTTGTATGTTAGTATGTTTTATTAAGTGATGATAATGAACTGGTTAATATTATCTGGGATTTAGGATTGCAGAGCCGTCCCAAAAATGGTTTCTCTGGGATGATAATATTTAATTTGGTATGCCCAAGTTTTTAATTCTTTTGTTTCTAACATATTTTTTTCCTCTTCTCCACAACAGTGCCTGATTTCAAGAAGCACACAAT